GTATGGTGACCTTAAGGTGAACCAATAGGGGGGAGGTTTCTTGGGTTTCAAGATTTGCTGGGGGGTGTTGCCTTTGTCTTCTTCTGAGGCTAGAGAATGTGACTTACTCAGTGGGTCTTTTTGGCTGAATGGGGACTGAAACCCTGGTCTCCAGAATCATATAAGCTTATCGCATGGCACTTAAGGGACGGGAACAGAAAAGAATGGAACAGAACGGAATAGGGCAAAAGCACATGTTACTGGACAGGAGAACGCCACCGATGCTGCCAGGAGTCCACAAGCCATTCCCCAGCCATTCCTGGCAGCCAATTTTGAAAGATGATTTTGAACCGTCCTTCAAAAATTGGATGCCAGGAACGGCTGGAGAACATTTTGGGGACTCCCGGTGGCATCGGTGGCAGTAACATGTGTTTTTGCCCCGTTCTGTTCTGTTCCTTTCCTGTCCAGTAACATGTGTTTTTGCCCCGTTCTGTTCTGTTCCTTTCCTTTCTGTTCCCATTCTCATACGTACCATGCAATAAGCTTAATAGTCCAGAGCTCAAACCACTATACCACACTGACCTGGTAAAAGAAAGAGAAAGCTGCAGGGGGCAAAATGTAACCATCTTCTAGGGACCTAATTTCTGTAAACATCCCCTTCCAGGTAAGATTTTACAACACTACAATAATTTCTAGGTATAGCTCTACAAAGCTTGCCCTCTTCATTCTGTTGTGCTATCCTGTGTGGGGCCTTAGGGAAGGGAATCAGATGAAAGCCAGCATTTGGTTTGGGATGCAAGCCATATCAAAATATGGATCAGTTCTCAATTCCATCAACAATATTTGAGCAGAGATGCTTACATAGGTGAATGACTATTTCATATTCTTGCCTCTACTTGTGGTCTCATCCCTGCTTACATGTGTGCAATGTCTGTGGAAATCTCAGAAGACAGAAAATGTTCCATGTAAAAAAAGTAGCTTCTGGAAAACAGAGGTGAGTCGAGTAAGCGTATATGTAGAGCTCTATTCCTTTTCTCAGGATGAGCAGCAAAACTTAAATGTGTGGTCATTACAGGACCCCGGCACTTTGACATCATCTTGCCTGATGGCCTGACTCCAGGGAGCAATCTGTCCCATGGTTATGAAACAAAACAAAACAAAACAAAGAGGCGATGGAAAGGAATAGAGTGGCTAAAATCCTGAAGAGAAAAACTCCACATTGCAACAGTTTGTTACAAGATCCACTTTTTCAGGTAGCAACTATTCTAGTCCATTGTATTAATAAGCAAGCAAATGCTTGTAAATACAGGCATCCCTCCCTGTTTTCTGACTTCACGTTATTTTTGGGCACATAGCTCCTCTTCTGCTTTTCATCATGCAACAACCTATTAACCAATACCTGTTATTGTTTGCCTGTCAATCTAACAACCAATTTGCCCTCTGATTGAATGTCTCCCTATCCAATCTCCTTTCCCCTTTCCCACCCAAGTGGGAATTTTAAATGTATACACAGACACACAAGATAATTTTTAAATTTTATTTTGTTCATCTTTTATTTATGAAAATGTTCAGCCATAAGGCTGAGTAAGGGGTTAGTTCAGGACCCCTCTCTCTTCTTCCCCTTGTCCAAGTATCACATTTATTTTTACTGTTTTTACCCTGCCTCCTTTCCAGTCCTCTCCCCAACCTGATCAGCATGTTGTCTTTGGTTTTATTTCAGTGAATGGAACACATACACCCCCCACTCCCCCACCCTGATCATTTGCTCACTCATTCATGCAGAGATCTGTATATGCAGATTGCAGATCTCTGCCTGAGTGAGTGAACAAGCAAGTGAATGTTGGGGGGAGGATTGGAGGGGAGGGAAAGTAAGCATTCCATTCACTGAAGTCAAAACAAAGATAACACAATGCTGATCGAGTGTGAGAGGAGGATCAGGGAGAAGAGTAAAACATATGCAACACTCTGGCAAGGGGAAGGAAGGGAGAACGGTAGCCCAATCTAATCTCTTCATTGCTGATCTCATGACTGAACATACACTGCAGTAAAAAACAATGGCAACATGTCTAGACCCACCACCAAACACTCCTGCCACCCCCAGGTCCACACTGAAGCTGCCTTGCAGTTCCACCCACACACAGGAAAAATTGGATTTTTTTAAAAGAAAAAAATCAGAATGCCTTTTAAAAATCAGACTAAAGCTCTCTGAACTGCATTCATTGCGAATTCACAGTGACCTCCCTGCAACTCATAAGAATGTTGTGTACCTGGCTTGTGGCAACCGCGAGTGAGTACAGGGTTGTTGTTATTTTGTCACCTTAAAGTAAAGTAGTACAACAGAGCATATCAGGTAATAAAATGAGTTCCTCTGGATTCTCTTCAGATCACATTGGTCAGTAATTGACTCCTGGATCTCACAAACTTGAAAATATACCAGAGGCCTACCATAGCTTATAATAATAATAATAATAATAATATATTTTATTTGTATACCGCCCTAGTGGAAAACCAATCTAAGCGGTGAACAATAAAAATTGTAAATTACAACAAGTTAAAACAGCAACATCCCTCCAGATGTTGCTGCTACAATCCTTTCATCTGTGACTTTTCAAGGCTCCATGGTGCTGCAGGCATGCCCACTGGGTCTTCCCTTGTGTCAATAGCTGGCATTCACAACTTGTCCACCTAAAAATAAGGGAGGACACTGACGAGTGTGTTGGAACTAGGGACATGGCAAAGCCCAAAGAGAATGTTGCAACAAAGAGAACATTGCAATGAATCCTGTCATCAACCACTTTTTGTTAAATGATTCCAGTGTCTAGGGGATGGGGAAAAGATTGGCTGTTGGCTCTTCTTCAACCTTAATTTTCACAGGGGTAATACACAGGGTTGCACATGAGGATGTGTAATCTCCAAATTTATGATCATTGTCCACCCAGTGCCCTGCAAAAATTGTGGACAATGATCATAAATTTGGAGATTACGCATCCTCATGTGCAACCCTGTGTATAGGAGACCTTGGGTATGTTATACTTCTTCCCCTCTGTGCTGTCATAGTTATACAAAATGAACATCTGCTCAAGGTTGGATTCTTCACCTAAGGGTGACATCCCAAAGAAACATTTCCATTTTGGCTTCCTCTCCTTATATACATTGACATTCATTTGCCTTGACTGAAGATTTTTAGATGGATTGGATCACTTCTGTTCCCTTTACCAATAATACACACTTATTGTTTGAGAGAGGCTATTGAGCAGCAGGGTTGACCTCAGGCATATATGAATAATCAGAAAGAAAAACAATGAAATTGGTTTAAAATAACACTATTTCTAAGTTATTTTATTTTCTTCCTGATAGCTCTTAGGGTTCACAGATCCACTTACTTCATCCAGATAATAAATTCACTCATTCATACAATTTGTATTGTCTGGAAACTAAGACAAGCCTCATGTCACATATGCTATATTAATGACTCTTGACATCATTTGTATAATCTCAAAATCCTAAGTGTTTTAAATTGTTCTTGGGACAAATCATCAAAATTATTCCAAATAAATACCATACTTATTCATATCTAGCTTGCTTATTGCTAATGCATTATATCATTCTAACAAAGGACTAAATTTATAATGATATATCTCTTATGCTCCAGAAACTCCAGTGATTTTTTTTTAAAAAAAACAAAACACAGAACCATTTTAAAGTGATGCATTGCCACTTCAATAATTTTAGCTAATAAAACAGATGACTTGCCTGCATGAATATACCAAACCATCAGAGGATGTTCCTAGTAAAAACAAATTATTTGTTAAGAAGTTGTCTACATACATGGTTGCTTACATGGCTCATTGCCTGAATCACATAAAATAAGCGATAATCCCAGTGAGGCCAGGCAGAAAAGGCAGACTTGGCACACCTTCCCCACCAATCCCCAATCAGTAGCCTGTCATGGGAATGATCAGCTGCATATTCTATGCATGCTTGCACTTTATTGCCTCAAAGCACAATGCAATAATGTGTGCTGTTCACATTTTGTGTCCTTAGTCGTCTAATTGTGAAAGAGCAGAATCTCCATTTTGCCTGCTCTCAGCTATAAATATTAGAGTCTCTTTAGCCAGCTACATTGTATTCAGAAACATTAATGCCTTCAGCTATAAATACGTTGCTAACTGAGGATGGTACTGTACAGTTTAAAGAGCTCTTTGGGTTCCAGTGATTGCCACCTTTCTCCTCATGAAATCAATTGCAATGAGCTTTCCAGATTCCACAAGCCCCTGGAAGAAGATGGCTCCTATAATGTGGATGAGGAACCTGTGCCCTCTGAGCAACAAGCAGCCTTCAGCCCCATTTCATATGGGGGAGCTATGTAATGGGGCAACCACCAGACTCTGGCTCCACCCGCTGTCAGACCCAGTTCTTTCTGCTGAGCCGCAGTCTTCAATTGACTTTTCGTCTTTCATAGGAAAAAGGTTCCCCACTTCTGATGCAGAAATGCAGTTGTGTCTCATGTTGGGAGCACAAAGAAGTTGTAGATTCAACATCATTTGTAAGATAATGTGATACTTGTGAGACAGTGATACCTGAATTAGTCAGTGTGCACGAAAACCCTAAAAATGTTGTTACACCTCGGTATCTTTTTTTCCTTTCCAATTTGATTGTTCAGATTTATTTTTTTGCTCGCTCAAGATAGACCAACTGTTCTATAAGCACACTGTTATAAACTGTAAATTAATGATGGTACCTTTATGAATGCTTTTATGTCTATTAAATGTCATATTATAAAGATAAAATATAAAGAACCCAGTAAGAGAGTGAAAACATGAAACACCAGAGCCAGAAGATGGCACATTCTAGGTTGCCTTTGCTTTATCTTTTCTCTGTTCTTATGCATGTGACATGTTCTGGTATGCTGACTACACTGAATTTGTTGCTGATTATATATGCCATCACATCATTTCTGACTTATGGCAACCCTAACTAAAAGTATCACAGGGTTTGTTTTCTGAGGCTGTGGGTTTCCATGGCCAAATGAGGATTTGAACTTTGGTCTCCAGAATCATAGTCCAAAGCTCAAACCACTATGCCACATTGTCTCCTAGTCTGAATACACACACACACTCTTTCTCTTTCTCACAAACACACACACACATTAAAGTGAGTGTAGAAATCAATCTTGTATAGTGATCTGATCATTGGTGGTTTGATCATATATATATATGATCCATTTTCTGGGATGCTGCTCTTGATTTGTTTTATTGTTAAGGCTGTGAATGTTCCTACAATGACTACCAAGACATGCCACACCAGCAATCTTACTTTATCTAAATTAGTGCTGCAGGTGTCAATAAGAATATGCAGTTCTACAGATAACATTCATGTTCTAGTCATTATATTTACTCTTTCTCCCCTAGCCACACTGATTTGAATACCAGACCATATAATTTTCTTTTCTTTTTTTTTTTGTAAAAAAAAAGGGGGGGTTAAACCAACGTATTTCTCATTTTTTAAATTGATAAAATACTTGCTGAAGTCATAATTTTTAAAATCTCAGATGTTGTGATGTTTCTGGATTTCCTTTCTCTTACTTCAGAGCAATTGTGGGGACTACTAATGTACACAACCTATCTGTTCCATAATTAACACTGATAGCATTTGTTTAGAAGCATCTGTAGTGTTCCCAGGGAGAAGAAGAGCATCATCTACATTTTCCTCTATGAAGTTCCCATATTGCCTGCATATTTTCCTCTACACATGTTCCACACTGGGTATTATTGGGCACAGTTCTTACTAACACAGGGACAATTTGTAAACCTTGAGTTTGTTTCCAGAATTCTGTTGATCACATTATTTACCTGTCTTATCTATTGTACCAAACCAGTACATGAGGGATGAGGGAGTTGCAGCCATATCTGAGTGTACAGATTTGTCTCCCCACCAGCATTCTCTTGCTGAGAATTCCAAATAAATCTCCCTAAACCACAAATCCAGAATACCATAGGATGGAACCAGAGCAGAGAAGTAATATGTTTGTTATAATTAGTTACTTTTGGTAGTAGCAACTCCCAAATGCCATTATCAAGGCCCCTTCCACTACTACAAGGTTGTGCATTTCATTCCCCCAGTTAAGAAAAGGTGGCAGTGTTATTCATTGTAGAGGCCACCCCTAAAACTGATTTTTGATTATTGATCAGGTAAGACACTACATCAGGGATGTAGTGACTCAAGTGGTTAAGACGCTGACTCTTGTTGATTGCAAGATCGGCAGTTTGGCAGTTCAAGGCCTGGGTGCCACATGAAGTCACTAGTCCCAGCTTCTGCCAAACTAGCAGTTCCAAATCATGCAAATGCAAGTAGATAAATAGGTACCACTTGAATGGGAAGTTAAACAGCATTCTCTGCAGTCATGCTAGCCGCATGATCGCAGAGTAGTCTCTGACAACGCTGGCTCTTCAGCTTAGTAACAGAGATGAGCACCGCCCCCTACAGTAAGACACAACTTGACAACCTTGTCAACAGAGAATACCTTTACCTTTACCTAATTTTTGATCAAGTACTTTTTAAATCAAAGTTATCCCCCCCTCCAAAGTCTTACTAGAGATCTATAAACCTCTCACACTCACATAAAAATTCCAGAGTGATCTATAGAATTATGGTGCCATAGCTCTACAGATTGCTTTGGAAATTTGGAAACCATTTGGAAATTTGAAAACATCATTAGGGTTTCTGGGAATCTTCTGCTACAGTTTTAAACTTTCAGAAGAGCACTGGCAGCTTGGCTTGGGAGCATAGTCATAATCACTTTTAGAGCTGCCAGGTCTGGAGCAACATTATCCCTGCAGTGGTGTCACCAGGCTAAGGGGCTGCAAAGGGGTGAGGTGCAACAGCAACCTATCATACCCCCTGCACCCCCATTGCTAGCCCTGATGTCTTCATCGCCTGCCTGACTCCCTCCCCAGGGAAAGAGCCGGGCCAGTGACAAAGCACAAGGGGTGTGCTCGCCCCTCCGCCACCCTCACTGTCATCTTAGCTCCCTCCTAACTGGTGGGGGAGGCTGTCCAGGGAGGTGGCAATGGTCTCCCCGCACACTACTGCTCACCCCTTGTGCCTTTGTCGCTGGCCTAGCTCCTTCCCCAGGGAGAGGCCTTAGACCTAGGGATGATCCCTTGTGATGCCAGGAAAGACAAGCCATGGTGATGTTACAAGGGTGCTAGACTCTCCTTGTGAGGTCATAGTACTTTAAGCTTCAATCACAGTGGCACAGAGTGTGCCATTTAAACAAAAAACAACAACACAGTCATTGGCATCCTGTTCAATATTTGTGAGACTGTAAGCTGGTGCGTAAGACACCAATTCTGATGATCAGAAGATCAGAAGGCTGGCAATTTGAGGCCTGTGTGCTGCATGATGGGGTGAGCTCCCATCACTTGTCTCCGCTCCTGCCAATCTAGCAGATCAAAAGCATGCAAATGCAAGCAGATAGATAAGTACCACTTTGGTGGGAAGGTAAACAGCGTTTTGTGCAGTTATGCTGGCCACATGATCACAGAGTAGTCTCTGACAATGCTGGCTGTTTGGCTTAGTAACAGAGATGAACACCACCCCCTACAGTTGGTTATGACTAGACGTTCATGTTAAGGAATTACCTTTACCTTTACCTTTAAGCTGGATTTAAGATTTTGTACCCTTTGAAATTCATGTTTCCAGTCTTTAATGACTGAATATGCTAGGAAATGACATTGCAGTGCTCTCCAGGTTATGGGGGGCACTGAAAGAAGCAATTGTGGTAGAACTTCGGCTTTCTGACTCAACGTACATCACAACAGAAAGAATGCTGCAGTCATTTCTTGGTGCCCCAAACTCCAGCTCCTTGGGCACTCTTGGGGTGCTGCTCAGCTTAAGAGGTAAATTTTTGAGGGGATATCACCCATCATAGCTATGTCTAATATTGCAGGATCTTGTCCACCAAGTCTAATGAATTAGGAAAATACATATTCACATATCTTATTATGCAGCAATTTAAACAATAGAACCACCAGTATAACCAGGCACTATGCTGGTGTAATACCGCAACAGGATTCTGGCCAATATATCCAAGTACAAGAGCCTCTGCTGAGCCAGTAGAATATTTATGCCAATTGTTTCAAACTTTTATGTGTCCAGATATACAAATAAATCCTTAAAAGTATGTAGACTGATCACAGTGAAATCTCCTAGTTGTGTACCATTTTTTTCCTTCTATTTCATTGTTCTTAAAGTCCCTAAGAATTTTCTGCCAAGAAATAAAACCCTTCCTTCATGACCAGAACTGAGATGTTTGGGAGGGTAACAAATAACATCCCAGGTATTGATATTTTGAACTGGATAGGACACTTTGGAAGGTGTGACTTAAGAGTTTTGTTAAAATGGCCATCTAGAAAGAGGTCTTTGGACTCTTTTTAAAAACATTCATTATGCCAAAGTATAACTGGAATTCTAAAACTGAAAAAAATGTTAAAATAAAAAGCAATTATCTTGTGTTAAGAGATAAACTATTCTGTTAAAAAAAACCCAAACAGAATGATTTTGCAGCTGTGGATTCTGATACTGATTGGTTCTGCTCTTATAAACATTTCTGGTGAAGCGGAACCCAGAAAGGAATCCAGCAGAGGTGGATTCTGTTAAGCATTCCTAATTCCTAGTAAAAATCATATCTCTCACGGCCTTAGTGCAAAGCATCCTAAAGCATGCTTTGTCACCAGTATGTTAACATGTTGGACTGCTTCAGCTGATTTTTTCCACTAATATAATTGTTTCATTTCATCCCTGGAAAACTACTTCTAGTAGACAGATAATGCCAAAATAATAGAGTGAAAAGAGGGTCCAGAAGGCTAAACTAGACACCGTCAGCTACATTGTTTTTCTTTGATTATTAGCTTTTGTCCTGCTTTGTCATTTTAGTGCATCTGGATATTCCTCAATTAATCAAACAGAACAAGAACAAGAGAGCTTAGGCTGCTCATGAGGTCACTTCTTGCAGGGACTGGATTACAGCCCCAAAAGCTGCCTGAAAAGCATGTATTGATCTGTTCTGACAGTTGCTGCCACATTAAGCCTCACCACAGCTGTGATATAAAGGTGCTTTGAGCTGTTATCATAAATACCATCCACTATCTTTAAAGATCATCAAAACAGCTTCACATTCTATAAGAATGATTGTCATGTATTTTGTCCAATACATTTTAACAACATAAATTGGTTTAACATTTTAATAGTAGCTTAAAGGTCAAATGCAAATCATTTAAACTAGCACTTATTCCATGAAAGTTATCAGATAAGCTCAATTTATAGTGCATGTGGCATGCAAAAACAAATAGAAGATTCTGAAAAATTATTACTCCCTTTATTTACTTACTAATTAGTATTTTTTAAATGTTCAAATCATTTCATCTGAACAGGAAATCTGTAGTATAAGATTAAAAGTGTAAAATTAGTTTTGCAGATCACAATAAAGCATAATAGATAGCCTTAGGAGAACTTTTAACATTTAGTAGCTTAATTTAAAATATTTATCATGACTGAAAAGCTATGGACAAGGAGAAGTGCTATGAATATTTACAGAACTCTAGGATATTTGGTGCAGATATACATTTTTTTTACGGATTTAGGGGTGTTGTAATGCTGTGATAAAATGTAGAAAATGTTTGTAAAATGTAAAGACTAATATTTTTATTATCATGTCATCCCCTTTCATGGGCTCTAGTCCTTAAAAAAAATCTGATTCCTCAATAAATCTGTTGTCTACTCCCATCCTGTGAGATCCATCTTGCCCTTTCAGCTCACCTTCTGGCCTATTGGTGCTGCTGCTCAAGGTCAGGTCAGTCATGCAGATGGACAGAATATTCAAAGGCTTGGAGAAACCCTGACAAGAAGCTTCTTTTTCATTTTTTTTTCCTCCTGAATCTTCAAGTAATCCTCGGTGACTATTCTCACTCCCTGACATTCAACATGGACATGTAGTAGACAGGTGACGGTGATCATCCAACTATGTTCTGATAGCCATCACACGATGACAACATTATCCTCCAGAATCTCTGGAGAAGCCCAGACCTGCACC